AAAAAAAAAAAAAAAAAAAAATCAGTTTATATCATACTTAATAGTAAAAGATTGCTTTTGCCTTAAGATCAGCAACAAAACAAGGATGTATGTTCTCACCACCTCTATTCAACATTGTACTAGAGGTTCTGGCCATGAAAATTAACCAAGTAAATGAAATAAATGGCATCCAGGTTGAAAAGTCAGAAGTAAAATGATGTCAATTCACAGATGATACAAGCACATATATTAAAAACTAGCAATTCACTAAAATACATGAAAACTAATCAGCAAGTTCAGCAAGATTACAAAATATAAAATCAATATACAAAAAATCTATTGTATATGAATACATTTTGAATGAACATTCTAAAACTTTAAGAAAACTGTTCCAGCCAGGTGTGGTAGCTCTTGCCTGTAATCCCAGCACTTTGTGTGACCAAGTGGGGAGGAGTGCTTGAGCCCTGAAGTTCATGACCAGCCTAGGCAACTTAGGGAGGCATTCTTCCTATCAAACCTTAAAAAAAAATTAGCCAGGCATGGAGGCCTGTACCTGTAGTCCCAGTTACTTGGGAGGCTGAGGTGGGAGGCTCACTTGAGCCCTGGGGCTTGAGGTTGCAGTGAGCTATAATAGTACCATTGCATTCCAGCCTGGGTGACAGTGTGACCCTGTCTCAAAAAAAGAAAAAAGAAAGCAATTCCACTTGCAATAGCAGCAAAAAGAATAAAACGTTTAAGAATAAATATAATAAGAAGAACAAACTTACACTCTTAAATCTACAAAATGTTGTTGAAAGGAATTAAAGAAGATCTAAGTAAATGGATTAATATCCCATGCTCATAGGTCTTATGATTGTCAAGATGACAGTTCTCCCCTAATTCACCTACAGATTCAGTGAAATTCTATTTTTTTTTCTGCTGTGTATGAGATATTTGATTACGATTAGAAATCATTTCCAATACTTGCTTCTATGCCTGTTGCTCCATGCACCAGACAGGGGGGTTGGATCCAGGACAAGGTGTGGTCCTGCCCTGGGGGCGGGTCCCAAACAGATGAATAGACGGGACCTCCCCTCCTTCCCAATGCCAGGGAGGCTGCTGAGGAGAACCACAAGTTCCATAATAAAATAAAGATTTTATTGGAATAAGCCACAGTGGAGGGTGGCTCATTCCTTGTAGGTAGCTGCTTTCCTCATAGCAGTAAGGATGTTGCTCAGCTCTTCTTGCTTCCTGTTGGCACAGATGTGTGTCCCCACCCTTTTCTTGATGAACTTAAGGGCACAATTGTCCTTGGAAACCTCAAGCAACTCCATGGCATTTTGCTTGTTTGGGGTAAAGCCATACCCCTCTCAGGCCAGGTCCACACAATCTCACTGTGCTTGGTGAGGTGCCCATGGTGGTAGCAGCTGAGTCTGGGCTTTCTCCTGCACCCCATCATTATGTGGACCCTTGCTGAGACCCCAGTCACGGGGTGGTACAGAGCTGTGACTGCTACCTTTCAATCTCGATGGAAGTCTTACAAGAATCCTAACTGGTTTCTTTGTAGAAATTGACAAGCTGATTGTAAAGTTTACATAGAATTTCAATGGGTGCGGACTAGACAAAACAACCTTGTAAAAGAAGAACAAAGTTGGAGGACTCAAACTTCCTGATTTCAAAACATTATCGCCAAGCAACAGTAACTAAGACAGAGTGGTAGTAGCATAAGGATAAGCAGAGAGATCAATGGAATAGAAGTGAGAATTCAGAAATAAGCCCATGTGTCTATGGGAAACTGATTTTGCCAAGGGTGTCAAGAACAGCCAATGAGGAAACACTAGTTTCTACTAATGGCAAAGGGACACCTGGATATCCATATGCAGATGCATGAAGTTGGACCCTTACCCCAAATCATATACAAAAATTAATTTCATATTAACTGATTACCTAAATGTAAGAGCCAAAGTTATAAACTCTTAGAAGAAAACAGAGGAACTAATCTTTGTGGCCTCTGATTTATCAGTGGATTATTAGATATAACTCCAAAAGCCTGAGCAACAAAATAAATAATAATAAACTGGACTTCCACAAAATTAAAATCTTTCATACATCAAAAGGCATTACCAAATAAAGTGAAAAGACAACCTACAAAATGGGAGAAAATGTTGCAAATTATACATTGGCAACCCAGAGTATACAGAGGATTCTTACAACTTGGCAACAAAAGACAAACAAATCAAGTAAACAATGGGAAAAGGGCTTGAATAGCCATTTCTCCAAAAATACACAAACGCCTGA